ACTCCCACCCCTGCCTGCACGGGGGCACCTGCGAGGACGACGGCGAGGAGTTCACCTGCAGCTGCCCCGCGGGCAAGGGAGGGGCCGTCTGCGAGAAAAGTGAGTGCCCCCCACCCACCATGGCACTGGTGCCAAAATTGGCAGAAACGAGGCTGCTCAGGGACAGTTTTGAGTCTTTAAGCAGCAAAGGTATTTGTTTTGAGCAACGCTGGGGAGTCTAGCCAGGGGCAGTTCTACCCCCCGATGGTTTTCCTGAGTGAAAACCAAGTCTGGGCAAACGGATTTTGCTCAGAGCTGGACAGAGTAGCTCCGAAGTTCTCAGTGAAAAGCCAGGTAATTTATACAGTTTTTATGAGTGATTACAACATCTATACATGCACATTAGTTTAATTTCACAATCTAATTACCATATTCATAATGGGTGGAGCTTGAGACAGGGCTGTCCTTTTAGGGAGTCCTCTGGTGGTCTTTCTGGTCGTTCAGCCTCAAGAGGGAGGGTCCTCTTTGTCATGAACTTTTCCTGACTACGTACTGGGAGCTTGTGAAACCCCCCTCTGCTTCAGCTTGCTCATCTCCCCAGATATCCATTCTATCTAATTCACGACTACTAAGTTGTCGTTAGTACTAATGAAAAACATCCATGCCTATGGATGTTCTGTACTAATGAAAAGATAACAGATAACATTTTCTGTTATCTTTTCATTAGTACAGATCATCTGTAGGCAGAGCTCTGGAACAGGGTACCCCTTGTCCCTTTAACAGCAATGTTGTATTCCTCAGAGCGAGGGTCTGTAACATCCCCTCAGAACAGAATTCCAGCATCTCAGAACTCTTGCTGGGTTTCAGCATCCCAGAGCAGGGTGGGGAGGGACCTCTGAGCTCACCCCCCACCATCCCAGGTTGCTCCAAGCCCCGTCCAACCTGGCCTGGAGCGGGAACCTCCCGCGTCGGGCGACTCCAGCGAACGCCTTGGCTGGTGATGGAGGGATGGGGGGAACGTTCAAACCCGGCCCCGGAATTGGCACTGGCACTGCAGGGGCTGCTTTAATGGGCTGTAATCTCAGCTCTGCCACAGCAGGTTGTACATGTGCTATTCATTGTAAAAGGCTGCGAGGTGCCAGGAGTGATTTCCCCCTGGCTCCGCTCCCGATCCAGCAGTGCCCCGAAGCACCGGGGGATTGGGAGCTGCTGCTGTGTTAGCTCAGCTCGTGGCACTGCCCCTCACAGCTCCTGCCTGCCAGTGTGACACAGCCAGGCACTGACCATCCTCTCCAGCCCGGGGAGATGTGTTCTGATAATCCAGCCTCTATTTCCCAGTGCTTGGAGCAGCTTAACAAGCAGCTGGAGACTGGCAGCACGCTTACCCAGAGCTGCTGTTATTTACTGTGAGCCCCCACTGGCAGTTTGGGGTCATGCTGGGGACTCTGGGTGGCTGGGAGTGCTTATTCCTGAAAAGCTTTGTCCCTAAAGCCATAATCTGGAGCGCTCCAAGCTGTGGGTGTCCAGCCCTGTTCATTTTAATAGGGCTTGGCCTCTCAGATCTCTTGGAAAACCTCAGCCACGACGAACAAAAGCCTGGAGTGATGAATGTAAATCTGTCATGTGGGATTCTGGGAGGAGAGATAAAAATTATCTAAGGAGCAGGGAAGCTGAGTTACGAGGAGCTGTGTGTGCAGCAGAGCTCGGGTGATGGCACTGGGGCACGGAAAGGACCAGCAGCACTGGTTTTTAACTGGGAGGAGCTGGTTGGGGGAGCAACACCCAAAGCCTGGGAGCATCTTTGGGGGGAATGGCATCACAAGAGGGGTTTTGGGTACCAGTGTGAGTGTCTGGGAGGTGGTGACGGGGTGAGCATGGGCTCAGAGGAGACAACCAGCTTCTCTCCGCCCCTTCCCAAGAGCTCCGCGTCCGGACAGGTCGAAAACATTCCCGGGCTCACATCAGGCTCTGTGTCCTTCTGTCCCCTCTTCACTCCTCTCCTGGCTCTTGCAGCTATCAGGTACTTCATCCCCAGCTTCGGGGGCAAGTCCTACCTGGCGTTCAAGATGATGAAGGCGTATCACACGGTGCGCATCGCCATGGAGTTCCGCACCCTGGAGCTCGGGGGGCTGCTGCTCTACAACGGCCAGAACCGGGGCAAGGACTTCATCTCCCTGGCCCTGGTGGGCGGCTTCGTGGAGCTCAGGTGGGTGCCCTCCCAGCCCCAGCTGGTGGGGAGGAAGGTGGGCTGCTCCAGCTAGAATGGTCCTCGCAGAACATCAGGAGGATGCAGGGCTTGGACTCGCGTTCTGAGAGACCCGGAATCAAAGAGATGAGGAGAGGAGAAGAGAGCTCGTTCCCTCCCTCTGGCACTTTTCAGCAAAGTTAATTCAGTGATTTCAGTTTGAATTTTGAAAAGCTGGAAGGTGTGGGAGGTTGATTTTTTTGGGGCGAGCGAGAGGTCTTTTTTTTCTTTTTTTTTTTGGGTGGTGGTTTTCTTTTTTTTTTTTTTTTTGTACCGAGAAAAGAAACACAGGTGGAAAAAAAGGAAAGGGAGAAAGGCCCCAGAAATCTGAGCTGGAATGACTCTTTTTTTTTTTTTTTTTCCCCCATTCCAAAAGCCAAAGGGACGGATTTGGAATGAGGTGAGGTGGAGGAGATGAGTCCTCAGGCAGTCCTGACGCTCAGGGGTGGGCAGAGCGTGCTCTGAGGGCAGCCTGGCACAGAGCTGGGCAGGGAGGGGAGGGTCTCCCAAGCACTCCCAGCTTCTCCCTGGGAGATGTCACCTGACACAGGTGTCCCCTTTCTGCAGGATGGCACAAACATGACCCTCTCCCCCGCCACTCTTCTCTCCTGCAGGTTCAACACGGGCTCTGGCACGGGCATCATCACCAGCAAGGTCCGTGTGGAGCCTGGCAAGTGGCACCAGCTGGTGGTGAACAGGAACCGGCGCAGTGGGATGCTCTCCGTGGATGGGGAGCCCCACGTGAGCGGGGAGAGCCCCCCGGGCACCGACGGGCTCAACCTGGACACCGACCTGTTCATCGGGGGAGCGCCCGACGACCAGATGGCCGTGTGAGTGAGGGGCTGGGGGCTGTCCCTGGGTCACAGTGCCTGCCACTGCTTCATGGGGGGCTGGGGGGGCTTCTTAAGTGATCATCTGCCTGTGTTGGTGAGGCACTTCCAGGGCTGTGTCTGGTTTTGGGGCCCTCACTGGAGGAGAGACGTTGTGGGGCTGGAGTGAGTCCAGGGAAGGGAAATGGAGCTGGGGAAGGGGCTGGAGTGTCCTGTGAGGAGCTGGGGGGGCTCAGCCTGGAGAAGAAGAGGCTCAGGGGGACCTTTTAGCTCTCTGTGACTCCCTGACAGGAGGGGCGAGCCGGGGGGTGGTCGGGCTCTGCTCCCAGGGAACAAGGGACAGGAGGAGAGGGAACAGCCTCGAGATGCACCAGAGGAGATTCAGGTTGGACATCAGGAGGAATTTCTTCACAGAAGGGGTGGTCAGGCATTGGAAGGGGCTGCCCAGGGAGGTGATGGAGTCCCCATCCCTGGAGGTGTCCAAGGAAGGACTGGTCTTGGCCCTCAGTGCTCTGGGCTGGGGGACAGGGTGGGGGTGATCAGGCACAGATTGGACTCGATGATCTCAGAGCTCTTTTCCAGCCTAAACCGTTCTGTGATCTGTGCCCTGTGGGGGAGCGCAGCCTGACCCACGTGCTCGGAGCGACCAAAAGCCCCAGTGACCCCCGTGCTCTGTCCCCTCAGGGTGGCAGATCACACCACGGCCACCACGGGGCTCAAGGGCTGCATCCGCCTCCTGGACGTGAACAACCAGATGTACGACCTGCGGGAGAAGGGCAGCGACGTCCTCTACGGCAGCG